TTGATTGAGCAAGACGCTAAGGAAAACGCTGACAAGGCAGTAAACCACCCACGCTGAAGGAATGTGGGAACCTGGTGTCACTGCGGACCAGAGCGACTCTTTCCTGTCAGGAAAGTGCTGGTCACCCGGTGGGTCAGAAATTCTGCGGCCCGGTCTTCCCAAGGGCCCCCGCGTCTGCAGCAGCCTGGCCGCACAGAAGCGCTTCCCCAGGGAGGGAAAGCCTCGTGCTCGGCCTCCTTTCAAGCGTCCAGGGGGTGGTATCTCCGAGCCCTAGAATTTGGATACTTTTAAAGTGACTTACCCTGGAGACTGGCATGTACAGGGGCGCTCTAGTCTGCCTGGAGCACAGAGCTCACGTTCCCTAGGGACGCGGAGCGTCTGGGAATAAGTCACCCCGAGGAAATGAAAGGCTCACTTCTGCCCCAGGCCTCATTCCAGTGCTTTAAACACTATTTACACCCTCGGATTCTGGCTTTTAAAAAAACTTACCACATTTCTCTCACAAACGGACATTTAATAGTCTAACTCTGTGACTATACCCAACACCACTGGATTGCACACTTTCAATAGGTGAATTGTATGGGCTGTGAATTCTATCTCAATGAAACTGTTATGTTAATAAAAGGGCCGTAAAAGAACTGGAAGCCTGGTCTCAAAGAGGTATGTGTACGCTCACGTTTAAAGCAGAATTATTCACAATAGCCAAAAAGTAGAAGCAACCCAAGTGTCCATTGGCCTATGGAATATTATTCAGCCAGTAAAAGGGAGGAAATTCTGCCATATGCTACAGCATGGATGACTTTTAAAGACATTATGCTAAGTGAAATAAGCCAGTCGGGAAATGACTAATACTGCATGACTCTACTTATATGAGATACCCGGAATAGTGAAATTCACAGACAGAAAGTAGAATGGTGGTTTCTCGGGGTGGTGGTGGTGTTGGTGAGGTGGGAATGATGAGTTGTTTAATATATAGAGAGCAATGATTCTCAACCTTCCTAATGCCGCGACCCTTTAATACAGTTTCTCATATTGTGGTGACCTCCAACCATAAAATTATTTTTGTTGCTACTTCATAACCGTAATTTTGCTACTGTTATGAATTGCCATCGGAAAAATGTATTTTCCGATGGTCTTAGGCGACCCCTGTGAAAGGGTCATTCGACCCCCAAAGGGGTCATGACCCACAGGTTGAGAACCGCTGATATAGAGTTTCAGTTTTGCAAGATAAAAGGAGCTCTGAAGATTGGCTGAACAACAAAGTGAATGTAATAAACCATTTAAAATGGTTAAGATGGTAAATTTTATGCTATGTGTATTTTAGCACATTTTTTTTTTAAGACCGGGGACATGGTGGTCTGAATGCACCATTTTGGGGAAGCTGCAGCCTGGATTCCTATGCAGTTTCACATGAACAATGACAGATGCGCTTCAGAATGTAGTGTAGTCTTAAAAGAAAATAACGGTCATGTTATATCTCAAGCTCTCAGGGATAAGAATGATAAGACAGTTACTCCAGATTTTCTTGAGATTGATACAAATGCATTCATATATTTATTGGTTCATTTATTCAACAAAAATTGAATGGGTGCCTACTGCGCTGTAGGCAGGTGCAAGGTACTGGGGAGACAGTGGTGAGGCATCGCTGCCTTACCCCCACAGGCCTTACAGTCTGATGGGTTGAGTCAGTTGGATGGAGCATGAATTGGCCATGTAAAAGTATAGAATATCTAGATATTTCTTTCATGTTACTTCATAGAGTCCTCCATAAACACTGCAATAACAACCACCACCACAGCAACAATCTCTTGGCATTCCTATGTACTTTCTCTTGAGTTTGTTTGACCCTGCACTCAACCCTCTCCTCCCACGTCTTACATTATAAGCCTCATGTTAACAACAGGTCGGTCTTGCTCATCATGTGTTCTTTACAGAAGTATATCATCTACAAAATGTCTCTATAGCTAACAAATTGCCTTATACACAGAGCCTGAATAAAAATTTTGTGAACTATGCTGAAACAACACTAGCTCTATCCCTGTGACCAAAATAATGACTGCAGATTTCAGGGTCCTGAAATCATCCCAAAGCGGGTTGTAGTATAGTAAGGAAGTATCCAAACAGCAGACTAGAAAATATATTTTGAAATGCCAAAACTAAAGAACATATATGCATGTATGCGTAACCATTGGACATAGACAACAATGCTTGGGGGGGGCGGGCAGGATAGGGAAGAGGGTGTCGGGGGGGGGGGGGGAGAGAAACATCTGTAACAAAAATAAATTAATTAATTTAAAAATAAATAAATAAATGCCATATTGACCTAACCATGGTTCTTCCTTGCATTGTATGGATGTGGCCCTTTTTTTAATGAAAGTTCTTTCTTCATTGAAATGTTAATCCTACAGTGAGAGTAACTCTATGATACATGAGATTTACTTGCATGTACAAGTTTGTTTGTGGACTCAGACCTCATACTGTGCATGAATACATTTAACTCATGGCCTGTCAGTTGACTTATGTAGATATATTCAAATCAGAAGTATGTAGAGTAGGGCAGGGAGTGGAGAATAAACAAGGCAGTTATTGGAGGTATTGAGAGTAATGATCATGATTTTATTATTGCCTATTATAAGAATCTGCAACTGAAGGCCTCTAAATCAGAATCATGCATTCAGATCCAGCTATTTAATGAAAACGTACTGTGTGCTAAGACCCTAGTCATATGTTATTTCAGTCACACATCATAATCAGTTTCTGATGGCACCCACTTACTAGCCCATTTTACAGATGATGAAACTGAAGACAAAAGAGGTTGCAGGAGTCCCCAATATTCCACAGCCTCTAAGTCCCACGGTCTTTACATATACCATGAAATCTCAATGTTGAATATTTTATTGAGTTAAGAGACTTAAAAGAAAACCTGCAAGCAGTCTGCGTTGCTCAGGAGTTGCTGTTTCTCTAAGGTCCGGTAAGCCTTTGCCTTGCTCTCTTGAACTTTGAGTTTCACTTACACATCAAACCCTGGACGCGAGCAAATGCTGATGCCATGGGAGCAGCAGTAGGTAGCACCACTCAGGGGCAGGCACACCATGTCCCTTTGACGTGCTTGGCCAGTCTGCTGTTCACGTGAAACGATGCCCAGCAGGAGCAGGGCCAGCGAGGTCTGCCAACGCAAGTCATTCTTCCCGACTAATGAAGGTTTAATGTCCAAGGTTATAAAGTGCTGGGAGGAGCAGAGGGAAATTGCTAATGTAGGCGTCTTTGGTGACCAAAATCTAAACAGCTCTGCTTTAGACCACTGACAGAGTGAGACAGACTCTCTGCGTACCTGTCCTGTAACTCCAGGCAAGTTACTTGCCTTCTCTGAACCAGATTTTCCTTATTCAAAAAATAGGTGATCTCAGAGAGGAGCTCAGATCAGAGATATCTATAAAAAGAACTAGATGCAGCAGAGAACCTCAAACCATTAGCTATTTTTGTGGTTATTGTTCACATTGTCACGATAAGAATAATTAGGATTAGGCACATAAATGAAATTATTTTTACCATGCAGCTCTCAGCGGGTGAAATGTTTTAGTCACAGTTCCGACCACCCAAGTCCTGACCCCAACATCTGTCCCTAACCTCAAACTCAATTCTTTCATCACCATCCTCCTCTACTTCCATCATTCTTCTTTGACAAAAATAAAATCTGATAACACCTCCTCAGATTGGGTCATCTTGGGCTGATGAATCAAGCACCAGGTGGAGATGGGAAACCAGAAAGTATGCCTTCGGGTGACAGGTGGGGTCAAGGGTGCTGATGGGAGCTTTACCTGGTCTAGCCTCCACGATGCTTAGGACAGGCCTGGCCAAGACTTCCCCAGACCAATGAGTCTCAATTTTGTATTTCAAACATTTTAATTTCCTCTAATAATTACATTCAATATCTAACACTACCCACTTTTAGAAGCTGACAACCTAGTTCTCTGCTATTTTTTCCTTCATTTCATTGACATTTCACTTTTTCACTCATAAATTCTAGTGTCAGACTCAATACCATTGAGCACTTTGACCCCCCCCCCCATTTTATGAATTATCCCAAACAAATATGTTTCTGAGATTTTATACTTTTCTGTAATCATGGTCTTTTCATTATTTTTAGATTTCCCCATAATGTTTATTTGCCTAATTCATTATTTGACTCAGGAAGCATGCAACGTTTTTATTTACCTTCCCTTGATTTAGATTTTGCTTTAATGCTCAGGAGAAAACGTGTGAAATGAACGCATACCTGGACAGTGCCATGGCTAGGGAAAATGATGGCTTAGATCAATCATTTTCAGTTTTATTCTAGTCTTTATCAACTTTAAGACAAAAATGTAAAAATTGAGAAAGAATGAGAATAAAGTAAAGACAGTGTATTCTGCCATTAAAAATACCAGGGAGCCCAGCTTGGATTTGGGGCATGAGTTGGAAGGGGGGAGGGAAGGGGGAGGGTCTTTGAGTGCCTACTGTATGCAGGCACTTTACAAACTTATTTAATGCTCTTGTGAAGTTGAGATTCCACTTTACAGAGGAGAAAATTAAGGCTCAGAGAAATAAAGACAACCTTGGCCAAGGTCACATATTTTGTAAGTGCAGGAGCTAAGCTAACCTTCTTCCCAGTTTCCCTTTGTGGTGGGCTCTAGACCTCAGCCATTAATTAGTTGCATGACATAGGGGACATCCCCTAATCCTCTGTGCCTCAGTTTCCTAACCAGTAAGATGAAGAGTCTGGAGTAAGGACTACATGGTCTCCAGAAAGCCCTTGTAGCTTTAACATTCTATGCATGAGTATGTGAGCATGATTGCAAGGATTGGCTGTTAATGAGCCAATCAGGGTATTGGATAAACACCTTCCCACCAGGCCAAGGTGGGAAGGGGAGGGCTAAAGTGAAAAAAAAAAAAAAAAACCACCACCACCACCAATGTTGATCAGAAGTCTATAAAAGGGGAATGTCCCCAAAGATTCTTCCTATTTGGCAGCTGCTGCCTCACCCACGGCTTCTGATCTCTAAGAGGACGTTCCTCTCCTGAACTGTAAGTGAAAGAACTTCTTTTGTCTACCTGAACTGCACCGGGAGTAAGGGGTTAAGGACAGCTTATAGAGGGGAAAGTTTACTTGCTTTTGTTTCCAGCAAAAGCGGGATGGTGGCTGAAAACCCCGTGACCTGCAGAAATGTTTGTTTTTCCTCACACCTTTCCTGGCAGCAAACTGCTCAAGATTGCGGCTGTCACCAGGGTTACCTGTCTGGGGGCTCTGTTGAGTCTCGACCTGGGAAAACCAACTTGAATACTCCTCTTTGGTTAGGTTCTGCTCAGTTTTTGAGATTCCTGCTCATTTCTGCTCTTTCCATAACCACTGATCATTTTAATGACTTATTTACCTATCTGCCAGCTTCTGTCACTTTCTTCATGCTCTTTCCACACCTGCCAGTGTTAGCACTGAAATTTCTTTGTCACAGAAGTGGACTCTGACCAATGTTCAGCTCGCCCAGAGCAACTCACTGCACCTGTCACTGTGCCTTTGGGAGGGGTGATGAGGTTGTGAGCATCTTCACAGGTCTGTATGTACCAGTGCTGCTCCCTGAGCGACCATAGCTCTCAACCAATAAGACCCTCATGTCTGTCTTCTTGAAAATCTACCTGCCGTGCACATGGAGAAGCAAATGGACTCTCTACTGCCTTATATTTCTCCAGATGTTGAATATTCGTATTTTATAAATTACTATCTTTTCAGAGAATGTCTTCTGGGAAGGCAGAGAGAATCACACTGTAGGGTTCCATTGGTTATTTTGCTAAAGAGGGATGGGAAATAGGATTCCAAATTATTCATCAGTAGGATGTGATTTGTACTCCTAGGACACCACCACTTAGAAGGGGCACCAGACACATTCTTCCTAGGCCTCCGTTTCCTCACTTCTGAAGTTGGCAGGGTTGACACAGGTCACTCGGAGGTCACTTGTACTGTTTTCCCCTTCTATTCATATATGTGCATACTCACAACCTTCTCCCAGATTTGTACATATATTACCTGTTAATATATTGTGTATAATAAGATAAGTGATGTATAAATCTATTTATTAAGAAATCAGACATTATAGAAAGGTTTAAAAAGTGAAATGTGAGAGTCATTCCACCCCATCTCATTCCCCAGAGGTTACCCCAGGGTGGTTATTCTCTGCTTATATAGACATACAAATAGTATGTGTGTATACCACTTTTTAATTAAAAAAGAATGATATTATATACTGCATACTTCTCTGAAACTTGATCTTTCCACTTAATAATATCATGTGAACAGCTTCCAATCTCACTTAAAAGAAAATATTGACTTGAGCCCTCAGTGAGCAGAGGCTTAGGGGCATTGAACTCATTCTCTGTTGTTACCCCGTCTCCGGGTGGTGAACATTGACTTGTGACCCTGTTTTATGATTAACAGACCAGTAATATTTGTGCTGATGTGGTACAGACCTTTAATCCTTCTGTAGAAGTTTAACTTCCCATAAACAGATTTGGTTGATTTGACCTTTCCTCTATTTGTTTTTCTGGTTGAGTCAGTACACTAAACTTGAAGAAAATAGCTTGGTAATAAATAGAAACATGGAAGTCCCTTAGGCAGTCATTTTTTTGTATTAAAATAACAATACCTTATATTTTCATGATGCTTTCACAAAGCATCTTCATGTTTATCACGCAGTTCAACAAATTTGTGTTGAGCAAACACAGTGAGTAGAGTACTCGACATGTGACCCATTTGGCAATGAGACAACCAGAGCTGGTCTTTGAACCCAGGTCTCTTTCATCTACTAGCAGCAAACCTCTGTGTGCATGTGTCAGATGCTTATGAACTAACTGGTAATGTCAGTGGTGTGGGGATAATGATCCACAGCCCAAGGGTTTGGGGTATTCTGGGTGTGTCCTCACCAAGTATTCTAGGGGTGTGCTCAGAACATCAGAGTCATCCAAGGCTGATTCCTTTCACCAAACTCACTCTTTTCTTGGAGGAGAGCAGTACTGCCCCTTATCCCAACTTTGTGCCTGATTAGTTATTTGTCCTTGGACAGATAATGAAACTCTCTTATATTCTTTCCTTCCCTATTATATGGGAGGGGACAATTCCAGCTGCCTTTGGGGATTATTGTGGGGAATTAATTATAGTGCGTGCAAAGCAAGTAGCAGAGTGCTTGGCAGTGAATGAAAATTTGCTATTATCATTGGGCTACTTTTTCCTTTTGTTTCATTAAGAAAACATCTTTACTACTTGGTAGGTGTCAACGCCTCTGTGCAAATACCTAAACTGAGAGGGAAAATTTGTACTTTGGCTTGAATGTCCCCAAGTTCAGGTTGGCTTTTATCTGCATGAAGATCTGGAGGCCAGGTCCAAAGCTAATAATCCCTGGCTGCAGTATTTAAACTAGTATATAAACAGGGCAACATCAGGTGGCTGGGGTGTGAGGAGCCTTGGAAACCATCTCCTCTGGAGATCGCTGCTCACCAGCCTGTCCTGGTGCCCACTGACAGCACTGTAGTCTCATTCTGTTCCGTGAAGACAAGAACCCCTATTGAAGGAAGAGTGTCAACAATGAGCGTGGTATCAGTTACACCTTCTCATGAATTAGTCCAGTAGCCATTGGATTCTTGTATCAAAGGGCAGGGTACTGAAACCCTGCCTTGAAGGGGTGCAGAAAGTGTAAAGAAATCAATTTGCAGTGAGAGACACGATGGGGTAGGAGGCTCTGCTTCATCCTGGCTGGGACCTTGGGCTAGTCAGTAAACTTCTCTGAGTCTTAGCTGGCTCATTAATTAATGAAGGTAGTAACTGGCTGGTTTCCTCACTGCTGAGCAGACCAGATGAGAACTAGGTGCCCCTGGGCTTCCAGGAAGGAGAAGGCAGGCGTGGGACATCCGCCCTGTGTATAAGTGGATGAGGGGGAGAGGAAGCCAGGGGATTGGAGCTGAAACTACTCAAGATAATCTTCACTGCGATTCATCCTCTTTGATGGCTCTCTCCCTGCAAAACCACTCTTTCTAACATATTAGAGTCCCGTGAGTTTGCATTTTCAAAACGGCCCAAAGTGGCAGCTGAACAAGGTAATGATCCCCTTCAGAGGACCACTCCTGAGGGGGTTGTTTGGGTAGGGGGTCTTCAAGCCAGAGTCTCCCCTCACCAAAGCAGTGAAGCTGAGAGTTACAGGATCAGGGATTACCACGACTTCAGCGCCCTTGGAGCCCATGGGAACCTGCAGCCAGGAGGCACTTAGGAAACATCCCCCCATCAGCCTTAAGTGGTCTCATAAGTGTTGGAATTCAGGAAACAGGAAGCTTGCACCCCACCCAGTAGGTCCCTTAGCTGAAGAGAGGTTAGCGTCAAGGCCAAGTGGTGGTTTGTCCCCTCAGGCTCGTTGCCTGGAGCAGAGTCTGGTGGGCTATAGGCTAACAAAGCAAAATGGAGAACAGCCACCCCCACACAGGCCAACAGCCTCACTGTCCTGGCCTCAGGCCATCCAAGGCACCTGATGGCACCAGAAATCCACAGGCTAGAGAGATAGTCAATGACTGAAGAGCCATCTATTTGTCAGATTTGAGTGGGTCACTAACGAGCTGGTTCAGTCTCAGGATCAGTGATCCCAAAGTTCTCCTGGAAGGCATTCTGTTTAGGATCACCGTCAACATTTGGCATCCCACCTTCATCCATTATTGCTAATTGCAACTACTTAGGCTAAGGGGGGGAACACCCCCCAGACCTCATTTGTTTATACACTTGTGGGACGGTCAGAGGGGCCTGCAGGGCTGTCTGCACACCCCTGCGGCCTTGGTCATGACCACTCACAGTTCTGTTCGGGACTCTCATGCACTCTTTGCCAGACCTGCACCATGGCCCACCAATTCCCAGCCCTCACCGCAGCGCAGAAGAAGGAGCTCTCAGAAATCGCCCAGCGCATTGTTGCCAACGGGAAGGGGATCCTGGCCGCCGATGAGTCTGTAGGTGAGTGCCAGAAACATTGCACACGCATACTCTTGTTTCTCCACCGAGCAAAGGCAATTTTATCACTGTGTTCTCTTTCCTCTCAGGGAAGCAAAGGTGTATGCACACAGGAGTAGGAGCAGAAGACTTAGTAAGCATAGACCTTTTGGGTCCTGTCATTCCAGTAGACAGATTTCTGAAGACCCAGCATAGAGGCTCAGCCTTCTATTTAAAGGCCCCTTGCCAGAGGTCATTTGATTCCAGTCTATAGCAAGACCAGGAACTCAGTAACCAGAATGCAGTTAGATGCACAGCCCTCTGCTTCAAAAGAGAAGTCAGTTTACGTCAGCCAAGGAAGGGCAGAGAGGGCAGGGAGGTGCCCACCTCTGGCAAAGGGGAGAGCTGGTGTCTGAATAGGCCCCAGCTGGTACAAGGGAGAGCTGTGGCAGGCCTGCACGCCACCATCAGACGGTAGAAGCCAGAGAAGTCCACCGTCAGATTGAGGGCTGAACCAGAAGAGGGCTGGCGAAGGGTGGGGCGCCTCCCCCCCACCTGGACACAATGGTGGTTTCCACCCTGACTCGTACATGCCCAGCCCATACTCTTCCTGACCAGCATCCTGGCAGCAGCCAAGGTCTTCCTTGAGGAGACAAAAGAGAGGCAGGAGTTCTGAAAGCTGGACAGAGAAGAGCGTTGCACTGTGCCTGGCGAGGGCCCCGGGCCATGTGGAAGAAGGCCCTGGCTCCTTACACTGCCCGGCCGCCCCCGCAGGCACCATGGGGAACCGCCTGCAGAGGATCAACGTGGAGAACACGGAGGAGAACCGCCGGCAGTTCCGAGAAATCCTCTTCAGCGTGGACAGCTCGGTCAGCCAGAGCATCGGGGGCGTGATCCTGTTCCACGAGACCCTCTACCAGAAGGACAGCCAGGGAAAGCTGTTCAGGGACGTCCTTAAGGAAAAGGGCATCGTGGTGGGGATCAAGGTGAGTACTTCCCCTCCCTCACCTTGTGCTGCGGCCAAGCGCCCTGCAGGGGGGCAGGAGCAGGGCCCCCACTCCGAACATTCCTCATCAGCGGACCGCTTGCCATCACACCTTCCCCAAGAACAGATCCTCGTCTAGACTGTTCTTCCCATGCCCTCTTCCACAAGATACTACATCTTTTAGTGTCTCAATTTCCTCATTTCTAAAATGGGAAAAATAGTACCTACTTTGTAAGGCTCTTATAAGGATGAAATGTGTTTTAAAAACAGTCCCGGTTGCAAAATGATTATTCAGCACGTGATAGCTATGAGGAGCGAAGCACTCACCGTTCTATTTTTAACTAGGGCTTCCAAAATTGCATCAACTTGTCAAGAATGAGCATTAGTATTTAATAAATGCCTACAACTCCAGGGACTCATTTAATCCTCCTCACAACCGCTGGAGGTAGACTCAATCACTATCCTTATTTGAGAGATGAGGTGAGGAAACGGAATTACAAGGGGCCACATAACTTGTCCACAGCAAGGTGAAACGAGACAGTTCGAGCCCAGACTGTCTACCTGTCAGGCTCATGGACTTAGCCTTTGCTCTGCTATAGGAGAGGCTGCTCCTTCTTCTCTTCCTCTCCCGTGGTAACACCCTGCCTGGTATGTGCAGGTGCTCACTAGAGTCTCTTGAATAAACGGATGAATAATTCAAGGGAAGCTGCTGTTATATAGCACGTCGGCATCCCAGGTACCAAAGATTCCTTCTTACTGCCCAAGCTCCAGGCTTGTGCTTTCCATCCTCTTAGGGTTGACCTTACCTTGACCCTCTGACATCCTTCCAAGTAACTTCCCTTCTGCTATGGACTGAGTTGTGTTCCTCCGGATGACTAATACACCTTCCTAATTCAACTCCTTGGTTTGGGAAGTATTAGTCAGCACTGGGGGCTCGGCTTGTGTTTTACTGGGACACCTGACACCTGCTAATTACGTGTTAATTATTTAATTCACAGTTAGACCAAGGAACTGCTCCCCTTGCAGGAACAAACAAAGAAACCACCATTCAAGGTAAGGATACTGCCCACTGATATGAACCATGCCAATATATGCTAGAACTGAGTACAGGAAAATATCATATACACCCGGTTTTCAATCACAGATCCTCTAATTAATAACCAAGTGACCTCCAGCTAGTCACTTAAATATTTGGAGTCCATTTCAGGGATAACGATATCTGCTTTGCAGAATAGTTTTGAGGATTAAATTAGACAATATCTATAAAGTACTTACCACAGAGCGTTGCACAGAGAAGATAACTCTGTACCTGGGAATATTATTTTTAGAAAAAAATCCAGCAGCAGTAGAGAGGAAAAGTCCCAGGCTTTGGAATCAGACACACCTGGGTCTGATCCTGGTTCCATCACTTACGACTTAGATAGTTTGGCCAGGAACTTCACTGCCCGAGTCGACAAGTATAAGCCACAACAGTGGGTTAGCTAAGCAGCGTCCGAGTCCCAGCTCTGTCCCTCTTTTCCTACGCAAACTTTAAGTCACTTAACCTCTCGCAGCCTCGATATCCACATCTGTACAATGAGTATAATATTAATGATTAGGGTTGTTATGATAACTAATGAGAAAAGGTGTGCAAAATGCCTAGACTCATGCTTGGAACATAGCAAGTAGCAAACAAATTTCAGTTCCCTCTATTCCTATGGTGTATCCACTATGTACATCAAAGCCACATTTATCAAATCCGGGACTTTGGGCTCAGCATAGGGACGCATGTTTATTTGCCTGGTTGTTTTGGCTTCTCAAGCTCAGCTGAGGGAAGCTAAGCCAAGGGAAAACTCCTTCACTTTATCTGTGGCCCCAAGGATCAGGAATGGGGGTGCAAAGGAGCCCTTCTCTCTTCTGTGCCGTGCAGGGCTTGATGGCCTTTCTCAGCGCTGTGCTCAGTATAAGAAAGACGGTGCTGACTTTGGGAAGTGGCGCGCTGTGCTGAGGATCGACAAGCAGTGTCCCTCTGCCCTCGCCATCCAGGAAAACGCCAACGCTCTGGCTCGCTACGCCAGCATCTGCCAGCAGGTGTGCGGTTTCCCCTTGGGCTGAACAACAGTAGGCGAGAGCTGTCTTTACAGCCTCTCTCTAATTTTACTATACCCGCACGAGCCCTCTTCTGCTCCCACCAGTGTATCCTGGTGGCATTTCTCACTCCTTTTGCTGCAGCCCCACGTGGCAGGGAAGGATCTGGTTGCACAAGCCAGCTAGGAGCCCAAAAGGAGGTGCCATCAACAACTGCCCTTCTGCCAAAGGGCTCTACGCCGAGTCCTCAAAGTGCTCAGGCTTTTGAGGCCAGGACACTTGCTTGTCTGCGTTCTACCATGTCCAAGACGGGGTCCTCTGAGACCCCCAGCTCAAGGGGGATAGCTCTGACCCAATCCACATAATTTCCTGGAGGATGGCGACTTGATACTAAAGTTTCCGATGTATGTTGACATGTCTCTGGGATCCAATTTAGTCTGATTTGCTTTGTGGGTGCTGTGTTAAGGCACCCTGAGTTGAGCGCACCTATAGAGTCCTAATCAGAATTGTAAACACGTCCTGAATTCCTTACTTAACCCACACGAGGGGCATCTTTCTTAGTGACTTAAGCTCGACTGCTCTAAAAGGGTGACAGGTAGTTTCTGGGGTAGCTAGAGTCGTTTCTCAAATAAAATACAGAAATTAAGAGTTTGCTTTTTATTTTACCCCATTCCCAGAAAAACTTTTTCTCTTCCTTCCTTTTTTTTCTCTCTCCCTCCCTCCCTCTCTCTTTCTTTTCCTCCCTCCTTCCTTCCTTTTTCTCTTCCCTTCCCTTCTCTTCCCTTCCCCTCCCTTCCCTCCCCTCCCTTCCCTCTTTCTTTCTTTCTTTCTTTCTTTCTTTCTTTCTTTCTTTCTTTCTTTCTTTCTTTCTCTTTCTTTCCTCTCTCCCTCTCCCTCTCCCTCTCCCTCTCTCTCTCTCTCTCTCTCTCTCTCTCTTTCTTCCTTCCTTTCCTCACTGTTCTTTTTCGTCTAAGCCATGCTCACTAGACATCCCAGTAAATGTCTTTGCGTTGCCTTTAGGTCACTTATGTGGTACTCCCCCATAAGGGCTTCATTTAATCCAAATTGCAACTGTTGAATAACCTCTTAAGGAAAGGAGCCGGCTGAGCGAAGCTTCACTCTGCCTCCCCTTTTTCCTTTCAGAATGGGCTGGTGCCCATTGTGGAGCCAGAGGTCATTCCTGACGGAGACCACGACATGGAGCACTGCCAGTACGTCACCGAGAAAGTAAGTCTTGACTATAAAGGTCCCAATTCTAGTCAAAAAACCTGGCTTTCAAGTAACAGCTGTGACTTCACGTATATCAGCTGTTACATGGGAAATATTCTTCAGTTGGCATCTGTGTAGCATTGAGAAGGTAAGGAGGTGTTATCAAACCTTCCACTTTTGGGCACATGTATGCTCCCTACAGAAAACGCACAAGACTGGTAGTACCAAGGCTCGGGTTTGAAAAGCCAGCTGTGAGACCTTGGATAAGTCACATTATCTTTTTCTGCCTTCCATTGTAGTCGCCCCTCGTTTATCACGGTTAATCCGTTCCAGACTCCAGCGGTTGCACCTGGCGTTGAAGGATCCCTGGGGTGCTCGAATACATAGGCCTACAGTCCATACGTACAGTAATTTTAATTTTAACTGTAATACAGGGGTCCATAATTGAGTCAGACAACTGAACGCGCGCTGTATCATTTTCACTGTCTCGAATAACTTTTTAATGAATATATTTGATAGAGTGAAGCCGCGAAAGTCTAAGCGCAAAGTGGTGAGGGACGACTGTATGTGTAAACTGAGAAATTTTAAAATAAGAGGAGGCTCACATAAAAACATGTAATTAGAAAGCAATTTGCTTACTTGTGACTTTCTAAATGAGCCACAGTGGATCTGTCAGAGAGTAAGAGTCATAATATAACTCGGTTTCTTCAGTGGCAAAATTAGGTAGACTAAAATGAGACCTGAAAGCACTTCTGTGTCTAACCTATGTTTTTATGACCACTTAGCATCTATGGGGAAGGAGAATGGAGGCCAATTTAGATGAACCCAACTAACTAAATCAAGGCAATGTCAACTGACAAACGGGGGGTGATGGGAAGGAAGGAGTGAAGGGGAGCAGAGCCATGGCAATAGTCCATGCGGTGCTCAGTTAGAGTAGGGTGGTGGGGACAGGCCAGCCCGGCCGTGCTCAGTGGCTGTGGTTTGCAACACATGCCCCGATGAGGCCTGGGGCTGTGCCGAGCCACAGGGGAGCACTCCTTCATCTTGTATCTCTGCAGGGTAAAATGCCACGGTCAGGTGACTCTAAGGCTGGCTCTGGGTTTCATCTGTTTGGATCTCTTGTCCTTCAGGTCCTGGCTACTGTCTACAAGGCCCTGAACGACCATCACGTGTACCTGGAGGGCACCCTGCTGAAACCCAACATGGTGACCGCCGGGCACGCCTGCACCAAGAAGTATGCTCCAGAGCAAGTGGCTATGGCCACGGTCACCGCCCTCCACCGCACCGTGCCTGCTGCTGTGCCTGGTAAGGCTCTCCTTTGTCTCTAACTCAAGGTCTTGGCTCTCAGCCTTCGGAGGAGCCTTCTGTCCACGAAACAGACCTCTGCTATCTCCCCAGCAGCCTCACTTCCTCACGCTCCATGATACCACATATCCTGAGTCTGTCCAAATGCACACGATCCATTGATTTCCCCAACATTTCACCTCCCTCCTTGTTAATGAAAGCCCTTGTAGCCTTAGCCCAACTAGCATCCCCAAAGGCACACTAATATCTCCAACCCAGCCCCATGCAAATCAAGCAGAGAAAAGACTGGGGCATTACGTTTCCTTCAGGCCCGTCGCTTGCTTTCTCAGGCAGGCTCCGCAAGCTGGGACTGGTAGAGTGCAATGGCTTTTCTCCTTCCAGGCATCTGCTTTTTGTCTGGCGGCATGAGTGAAGAGGATGCCACCCTCAACCTCAATGCTATCAACCTTTGCCCTCTACCCAAGCCCTGGAAACTGAGTTTCTCTTACGGACGGGCCCTGCAGGCCAGCGCCCTGGCGGCCTGGGGCGGCAAGGCTGCAAACAAGAAGGCGACGCAGGAGGCGTTTATGAAGCGGGCTGTGGTAAGACGCTGCGGCCTCGTATCTACCTGATCGGGTGGACACTTGGGGCCAGGCTCTCTCACGTGGAAAGGCTTTGCCTCCTCCAGGCCATGACGGCATCTCCAGGTATCCCACTGGGTATTTGAGAATGTGGTACTGGGGCTCAGGAGGAAGGGTAGGGCCAGAGAGAGTTTTGAGTTATCCACACCGGGCGTGTAGCTGATGAGAGAGATGGAAGGACAATTTCCAGAGAGACACTTCACACCTCTCATACCGGGAAGATGAAGAAGAGAAGCCACGCTAACAAGCAGCAGTGATCTACTAGGATGAACCAAGGATTCTGGGAACAAAGAGAAACAACTTTCCAAGGGTCAGTAACAACACACCACCGAGAGATTCAGAACAAAGGCTAAGAAAAGGCAGAGATGGGCAATCAGGTGCAAATCAAACCTCCAAGGTGGTATCATTTCTCCCCATTAGAAAGAGAAAGCCAGGGAGAGAGTCAAGATGAGGAGAGAGGAGGTCATTGAGAGGACAAGGAAACAGAACCGCATGAAACTGAGGATTAGTGCAGGTCGCAGAGTTGGTCTTAGAAAGGAGAGAAGGCAAAGAAGAAAGAGAATGGGTTGGACTCGGGTCTGTTGGGGTAAAGAGATGGAGCGGTTGATCGCGGGCTACAGTTGAGGACATCTGTGGAGAGTGAGAAGGGAACAGCGATTTCAGTTTTATCAGAGAAGCTTGGAACAGCCGTTGAAGCCGTCTGCTGGGAGACTGACCAGACGCGCCGGCCAAGCATCAGGCAAGGCGCAGCTGAAATGAGAGCGAGCCCGTGGTACATCAGCTTAGACCCTGAGCTGTCCTGACAGCTCTCTTAAGCATGCCGGAGGATTCAGGTCAACCTAAATGGAAACAGCAGGAGAAGAGTAAAGGTTTGATGAGCAGGCGGAGAGTGCCGACTGTGAGTGACTGCCTTATTTGGCTTGCTGATCACAGAGGAGGCTGAGGTTTGGCGAAGGAGCACTAACGGGAAGGAAGGCCCGCGAGAAGTTTTAAAAATCATCATAGGGGCATAAGAGAGGTGTGCGATTTTAGAGGTGATGCTTTACCTTGTGATGAAGGAGAGCTGGGTGTGGCTGAGCTGGTGTGTGGCTGGTAGGTGAGATGTCGCTAATACGATGGAGAGACTGTGAAAGTAACGGCGAGAAGGGCCATCCACACGGAAGGGAAGCTGCGTCTGTAATCTGAGATGTGGTTCTAAACACGAGGGTGCATCTGAATCACCTGGTGGGCTTGTTAAACACAGCTTGGGCCCTGGCTGATTTAGCTCAGCGGTTAGAGCGTTGGCCCATGGACCAAAGGCTCCCAGGTTCGATTCCGGCCAAGGGCATGTACCGCAGTTGCAGTTTGTCCCCAGCCCTGGTTGGGGTCATGTGGGTGGCAACCAATCAATGTGTCTCTCTCTCTCTCCCCATCCCGCTCTGTCTGAAGATAAATGTAAAAAAAAATATCCTCGGGTGAGGATTAAAAATATATATATTAAAAAAAAACACCAAAAACCCTGCAGATTGGTGGGCCCCAGCCACCGAGTTTCTGATTCAGATGGTCTGTGGTCAAGCTAGAGAATTTCCATTTCTAATAAGTGATACGATGATAACTACATAAACTTACATGTTCTTGTGGTATAAGTAAAAAATGGGAAATTTAAGAAATACTTTTTATTTATTTGTTTTTGCTGTAGTGCTATCAGCCGCACCTTGCCTGATGGTTGGCCGTAGTATCTGGTCTGTTTCTTAGCAGACGACTTCAACAGCTATTCCAAGCCTCCCCCTGTTCAGACTGAAATCCCCATTCCTTTATCCCTAAACTAATGAGAAGTTTCTCAACTTTGATTTCTAGTGCTGTTGTTGCAATATTGTTGGCACTAAGAAGAAACTTTCCCAGTAACAGACACAAACTTCAGTCTTGACAGAGAAATGCTCAGAGAACTGGGGTGAAGGAGAGAACATGTTACAGAAGGAGGGGAATGGTATCAGCCCCAATATTCTGGCAAAGTCGGTGTAAAGGGAAAAACCAAAAGAAGGTGTCGCTGGTTCGAAGTGAGACGTGGAGAGGCTCCAGCACATGGCTGTGTTGGCTCTAACTCGGGCTCCTCTGTCACCCTTGTTTTTCAGGCTAACAGCCAGGCAGCCAGAGGCAAGTACGCTTCCACGGGCTCTTCTGGGGCTGCGTCCACCCAGTCGCTCTTCACAGCCAACTACACCTACTAGAACCTGAGCCAGGCCGGCTGGCTCCAACCCTTCAAGGTGTCTTGGGAGGAGGGCTGAAAACAACAACAGCCTTTCGACTGACCCTGGAAATTAGACCAAATTAGATTGAACTACTGGAAACACAATACATGTTAAATTCTTAGACACACGGGGAAAAAAAAATCAAGTTATTGAAACTTAAGTCTGGATATGAAGGGTCTGACGAAATCCCACACAGCGGTGTCCTTGCCACGCTTCCAGCCGCCGTGGCCCAGGGTATCCGCCTAAGAAAAGAAGAGACTCGAAAGCACAATCAGCTCTCTGTCCAAATAACGATGACTGAGTGAGACATCGCAGAGGCTGAGGGCAGAGAAGAGCATCTTATCAAACGGTCTTAGGAGGGTAGGTTAGGAAGGAGACAGCTGCAACAGAAAGGAAATAAAATACACTATAAACCTTCCGTTGGTATTGTTTTACTTTTTGCTCTTCTTTCCAAAGGACTGGGTATATTTCATGACCTCTGACTCTACTAGGCGTGACTGACGTGATGGTCAGGGTCTTCGACTTGGCTACTCATTAGAATCACCTGGAAAAATTAAAAACCACACACACACACACACACACAGATGCTCAGGCCACACTCCCTGGGCCCAATTAAATCAGAAACTCTTGACGTCGGATCCTCTAGCCATCAAGGTTTCTTAAAGCTCCCTTGTGATTCCAATGTGCAGCCAAGTTCGAGAGCAACCAACTCAGATTTCAAGTTTGAGGCTCTCCAAAAATGAAAGCCAGGTCTAATTTGAAGCAAGCTAAGAGGCGACATGGTTTTGAGATGTGTGGCGTGTCCGGAGAGAATGGACGTGGCGTTGCTGCTTCGAGCATTCCTCTCCCAGCTGCCGGGTCTGAAGGCGCGGGGCCGCATCTTCCTCCGCGTAGAGCACACCTCCTACTTGGCAGCAAATAATACTCACATAATTAGACTGCCTGGCTTTGCATTTTCAGAATTAATCTACAGAAAAAGCATTCGAGATAACCATAGCTACAAAAGAGGACTTTAACATAACTTTGGATGACATAAAAGTAATGATTTTGGTGAAACAGCAATAACTAACTGACAGAAGGTGGGAAATCGAGAGTGGAGGAGCGCTAATCCACTTAGTGGATGGATGAGGAAATAGTGCTTTAAGTCTATACAGTAATAAAGGAAATGGAGATAAATCATTAAAATATTCATACCTATAATTAAAATATAGACGGTAGTAAACTAAATTCTTTGCCTTGAAGAGTACAAAGATAAATTATATTGCTTAGAGTTGATAAATCAAGAACTAGAGGCATAAGCATAATATTTAAAGGAATAAAACAGAATTAATCCAAAGGGCCTTTCTCCAGTGAGAAAGACCCGGGAGTGGGGTGCAAGCAAGGAGTTATTTATATATGTAATATATATGTTATATATTTATAAATTATATATATAAGAAATTACTTATTATGTACCTTTAGAACATTTGCATGTTTCCATGCACCTAAAGACAACTCTATCCATAGAAGCAGTTCGGATCTACCTTACAGGTCATTTAGCCCAAGGCTTTCATTTTGCAGACAATAAAACCAAAGCTTGAGCAGTTACCTTACTGGATGACAGTCCCACGTTTAGGGAGGGTAGAGCTGAGAGACTAGCATTCAGGTCTCTTTCTTTTACAGGGAACACACAGCCTCGGTGGAAGGTAAGGGCAGGGCAACAGGCAGAACACATTTCATACCTCAGCCACCGGAGCTGGTCTTCTCCATTTCTCACTGCATCCATTCACTCCATCAGCAACCCCTTGAGCTCCTACCATGTGCTCAGCTGTTCCAAAGGCTTCTGTCACAACACCTGGTGTGACAAAGCTCTTCTGCCAGAAAACTTTTTCTAGAGCTTACTCAGCATCACCGACCCTCTGTGGTAGAGAAACCTCTTAGACTCTCATGTATGGTTTGAAAATTGATTTATAATTAAGGCTGAGGTATTTATATTTTTTGGTCAAGGCCAAATTATATTTCACTGGGGGTGAGGGTTTATATAATAAATTTTCCCTGGCGACTACCTGATACATTTTCCCTACTAACGCACCACTGTTGTCTTTGAAATCTCAAGCCCAGCAGTATTCTCCACTCAGGGTAACATGAAGACAAGAGCTATGAAGCCACGGGTTTCCATTTTTATTAACTGTGTGGTCACTGAGTGAGTATATTAGCTGTTGGTACTTTGTCAGATTTATTCTAGTAGTTATTGAATACCCACTAAGAATAAAACCTGGTACTAGGCACTGATAGTAAATAAGAAAATTGTCAGCATTAGGGTAGCCATGGCATTTGTATACCAGATGCTTAGGCATAGGTAGCTGAGCAAGTAACACACATGCCATTGACTGGAGGTTGAGGAGTGGGGAGGACAGTCTACCAGTACAGCTGGGTGCAGAAAGGGAGGCGAGGGCGCTGAAGTTGGACATCACAAGATGGTAAAAAGAAAAGAAACTGCCAGTGTGTGAGAAAATACTTTTATAATCCACCGGGGGAAGATAATACCTTGAAAGCATAAGTATGAAAAGCCAAAGCCACAGAAAATTACTAAATACTGGAAGGAATAAAGAGAAGAGTTTATTTTTGCTCTGAAGAGGGAGGGTGAAGGGAGGGAGGGAGGGGGCGAAAAAAGAGGGAGGAGAAAGGAAGAGACGAGAAAGGAGGAGGAAGAGGGAAGGCAGGAAGAATCTAGGACAAATATGAAATGGCAGGGAGGTGACTAAGGGATTTTTAAGGAGAAGAAGAGACATCAAACAATCTAAAGACACGTGTCTTCTTGATAGGAAGAACTGAGTTTCATATGAGTCTATAGCACGCTTTACGAAAACAAGATAGTGAGATGATTCATAATAATTCATAATGTGAATTTAGCAGAAGCTGAAGCTGACTGTGACAATGATAATATAAGCCTCTAGAAACCTACAGAAACCCTGGAGTAGGCTTCAGATAAAGCAGACATGGGACGTCAAGTCCATCTGATTGAGCTCTCCTACAGTGAAAGACTCCACCTGACAGCCACATTTCACTCACAGCAACAGTGGAGGAAACGGGTCCAGTGTGCTAAGGAAGTTGTTCAATGTCACCTAACCAGTAGGTGAGAGCAGTGTGATTTGCAAAGTCCTCTTGGGAGGCAGTACTCTCCATGGTAAAAAGCACAAGCTCTGGAGTCAGACAATCTAGGTTCAAATGCTGGCTCTGCCACTTCCTAGCCACACGACCCTTCTGTGGTTCAGTGTTTCATCTCCAAAATAAAGAAAAGTACAGTATCACAGATTATTGAAAAATTAAATGAGTCAATACATCTCAATAAAAGGTTCACAATCCCTTATCCACAATTCTTAAATCCAAAAAGCCATGAAAGCCAAAAGTTTGCAGCAAATTATTTGGTGGCAAAACCTGATTCGAGGCTGTCATCTGTATTCCACTTGCTGGGATGCCGAGGTATTAATGTGTCTGATTGTAGGTGGTGACACAGACCCTGCAGAGGAAGTTATATAATATATAGCAGAAGCACTATATTTACTCTTGAAAATCTGAAAAATTCTGATTTGCAAAACACATATAGGCCTTCAAGGCTTTCGGATAAAGAATTGTGGACCTGCCCTTAGAACAATGTCTGCCATACTTCTAGGGTATAAGATGAATTACCCATGCTCAGTACAGCCTGGAGGGCTCTTGTAATTCTACCAATCCCCTACCTGAGACTATTTTCTAGAGAGGATGGATTAAGAGAGAGGAGTAATAGCAAAGCTCAACACAGCCAGTCACAGGCCTCTTTCCATTCCTCAAATATACGTTTTTCTGGCTGTACCACAATCTGTCCCAAGCCTCCTAAAATAGCATAACACTCAGTACTGGGCATCAATCTACGTAAACATATAAACTCAGTCAAGTATCCATTCAGCACCTACTGTATGCTCAGCGCTGTAAAGGTACTTCGTGGTCCTTGTATGCTTACTGTTGAGATCTGGAAAATAAGAATACAATTAGGAAACAAAATGGTACACAGTAATGCCTAAATCGCAGTGGCACAGGACAGGCGCTGAGATCAAGAGGGAATGAATACTTTACAAAGGTGAGATGAGTTGCAGACAGTTTCTTGCTAGTTATATGATCTTGGGAAACACACCTAGTTTCTCTGGGCCCTTTTCCTCATCTGTAAAACAGGGCTGTTGCGAGGTTAGCAATATTTTATGTACAGTGCCAGGTACCTAAGTTGTGAATAAACATGTATTTTTCCTTGTTGGTTGGTTTTTGAAGAATGATAAAGGCACTGGAGAGTGAAGATGAATTAACTGTGTCATGACTGGAGTACAGATTCTATGTTGAGGAAATTGTGGGAAATTTGACTAGAACGCTGAGACCAAGCAGAGTGGCGCACTGGAGGGGAAGGGGAGATTGGGCAGAGATATGGACAGTCTTGCCTTGATGTCATGAGACATAGGAAAATGAGAATAATTTTTGCACAGGGATTAACATGATAAAAGAGTATTACTGAAAGTTAATTTTTTAGCATGTAGAAGATTAGGAGGAAGCTGGGAGCCAGCTAAATGTGTATAACAGCCTATGGCCTAGCCCCTTGTTGCTGGAAGTCAGCGAGTGGACGTGACATCATAAGACAGAGAAAAACAACAAAGTTCTGCTTATGCAGCATAACCATTTACCATCCTAATAAAGTCTCTCTCTTTTTTTCCAACTTGAGAGGCAAGTACTGGGGCAAATGAAAATTCATAATAATCCACATCTAGTTCTCAGAAGAGGCTCACATACATGCAGACTCAGGTCTTGGAGCACGGCTGTACAATGAGACATACAGCACCTTCTAACCAGAGCACCAATTCTTCCAGCAGCCAGAACAACCAGGGCTCGGGTGTAGCTGGAGGGCTCAGGTGTCTGAGCAATCTGCCTTGCCCTGCCCTCTTAAGACAGTCAAGGTCAAGGAAACTTTCTGCAGCTAC